ATCAGTCTTTTGAGGGTTTGGGGGAGGGATGAGTATAGCTTCCCTATGGAGATAAAATACATGCTTTAAGACAGGAGAAAAACAAATAATTTAAAATATGCATTCAAAAATTCTTTACTATGTTTCCCGTGGAATGTGAGGTGAACAGAGTGATTTCTTTGGTACTTACAGACTATGAGCAACGATGGCTCACCTCTCCTAAGTTATAAAATACTATGGCTCTTCCTTTGGGTAGCCTCTCTCTCAGACCACAAATACACGTGCCCAGCAACCCTCCAGGGAAATTCCTGTAGCAAGCACGGAAGTGCTATTTCCACTTAAGTGTTCTGAAACTATACTCCTGGCCAAGATTTTAACTACAATCTTCTTAGAGACCTCTAGCCAGAAAGACCCAGCTCAACCACTCCTAGATTCCTTAGAAACTCTGAAACTGTAAATGTTTAATGGTTTTAAACTGTTAAGATTGCTACTCGACAATATAGCCGGTGTCCAAAGCCCCTTCTTTTCTGGTATTCTGCTCTGTAAATTCTAGCTGCATCACTTTGTGTTCTAGACTTCAGGGTCTTGTTTGATTCTTTTGTGTTCTGAATATTTACTCCTGGTTGGTGGGCTAAGGAAATGATAGTGCTTATTTCATGTGTTGCTTTCTCTCTTGAGTCACAACTCTAGCCTGGTTTAGTGCCTGAAAACTATTCTTTCACGTCTTTCCTGTTTTCTTTTGCTTATGTAAAAGTGTGTGTGTGTGTGTGTGTGTGTGTGTGTGTGTGTGTGTGTGTGTGTGTGGTGTGTGTGTGTGTGTGTGTGTGTGTGTGGTGTGTGTGTGCACACGCACATGCATACACAGATGCACACATGTCTGCTTGTCTGTGCACACATGCGTCAGAGGACAACTTCGGAAGTTGATTCTGTCCTTCCACCACGAGGATCCAAAGGGTTGGACTCAGGTCCTCAGACTTGGTGGCAGGTGCCTTTCCCTGCTGAACCAGCTCTCTGACCCCATCCTATCCATTTGCTAATTCTTCAAAGTCCGAGTTAAAATATGGTCCATATTTTTCTACCATGGCCAGAAACACTTTAAGTTGTGATCTCAGTTTAAATGGGAAGAGCTAATACCCTCATGAAACTCAGTAAAAGAGTTCTTCCTCAATATTTTAAGTCTTTTTTTCCCCCTGGAGAGGGAAGTATTTAAGGTTTGTGCTGTGAGAACCCCAGTGCCAATGATGAAGAGAATAAGAGAGTTTGAAGGAAGGATAGTCAGCTCTGCATATAGATCATCCAGGTTGTAAAACGCAACATGTGAATGCCTTGTATGCAAGCACAGTTGCCTCTTTCTACTTGCAGTCTGAACCATCTACCTCTCCTCCCTGTGTCCTTGCTCTGAGAGCACAAAAACAGTGCTTGGTTGATTCTATTTACTGCCTGGTGAAATATGGAACAACCTGTCCTAACCAACATATTTCCCAGATGCTTTTTTCTTTCCTCAGAGGTTGCTGATGTACATCTATGCCACAGTCTTCCCCTTTCTTCTCTACTTCACCCACACACTCTTTACCGAGTTCTAAATCAGACTAGTTCTTTCTTCCGTGCTTGCTACAGGAATTTCCCTGTAGGGTTGCTGGGCACACACAGACACACACAGACACATACACACACAGACACACACACACACACACACACACACACACACACACACACACACACAAACACACATCAAACCCACTTTGACCGATACTCATAAAACTCTCTTCTGGTCAGAGCCCAGACATTTCCCACACACCACTTCTCTCTGAGGTTTGTTTTGCTTCCCAGCCAAACATCTCGTGGATAGTGGCAGATCCGCAGCTAGAACTAGTGTTAATTCTGGATCGAGGAGTTGAAATTGGAATAAATAACAACTGGGGACATTTCGTGAGGATTAGAACCATTATTCGGTGTAGCTCATGAAATTAATCAGGATGCTGTGGAGAGACAGGCAAAAGGAATCATGGCTACCTCTCAAAACTTGATAGTCTGGTAGGAGGAATAAATGTGGAAGCCTATCTCAATGCAAACTAGATAGGCATCTGACTCTGTACAAAATAAGTGATATTGATATTCAAATGGAAGGAAGCAAAGCTGCCTGGAATGCAGGTAAGTATAACTGCAATAATTAATTCACCTCTTTCACAAGGAACTAGCAGGGATTTCTAATAGCAGGAAATCACAAAAGTAGGGATGGGAACTTGACATTGGCAGCCCTTAACTTTTGGCACATTTAACTTAAAAATACAGTTCATTTTAAGAAATTCCAAATGTATTCCAATAAGCATACATAATTTAATATGCATTTCTCTTAGAATTTTACTTCGGTAGAATATAAAAGAAATATCTTATTCTATAATATGTTATTGCAAAAACATGTGAGGAATATCTTAAGACCTGGATGTGGGTGGCACATACTGTCCGTTCGCATCAACCTTCCT